GTCCTCCTTGGTGCCCCGGACCGCCGCTCAGCTCGGACTCATGACCCTTGGTCATTTCTGTACAAATAAAAGGTGCCCCTGGCAGCCAGTCCTCCATGGTTGCCGAGTGGCTGGAAAACAAACCTGAGGGAGGAAGCAGGAGCTGGAGGCCTAGCTGTGCCCTTGACTCACTGCCCATGAACAGAACTTCCAGCAGAGACATATCTTTACCTCTCCTTGCAGACCTGTGCCCCCACTCCTTGGGTGACCCCACCCCAGGCCCCCATCACTGGATGGGTCACATAAGGTTCAAAAGTGGTATAGTGGAGAAAGAAGCTCCATGTTAGGGGCTGGGGAGGGAGAAGTCTGGGAGCTTCCCAAGGAATAGGACTTTATTAATTGGGTTTTGAAGGATTAATAGGAGTTTGCTAGGGCTAGATGGAGCAGAGGGGAGTCAACATTCCAGAGAAAATGGTGTTTGTTCCCCACTATATCCCCCAGAGCCTAGGTAGGACAATGCCTAACACAAATTAGGCACTTAAAAAATACTGGTCACGTGAATAAAATAATAAATGAATATTAATGGAAAGTGCTGGTGCTTTGGGGAACCTGGGGGTGGGAGGGGAACAGCAGACTTGGGAGAGGAAGTCTGAATAGGTATGTGGGGGCATAATTGGCGAAAGCCACGGGGTCAGAGGAAGGATTTATTTACTTATGCATTACCTATTAAGCACGTACTGTGTACTATGCAAATGCGAGGTACTGGAAGTTGTTCATAGTTAAAGTATAGAGCAAGACAAGACCTGTAAATGAGAATTAGCTGGGTGACAAGGGGAGGAAACAGCATGTGCAGAAACCCTGAAGTAGAGATTCCTAGGGGGTAGACATTGCTAGTGGCAGGACTTGAGACTGGGGGCTCACAGGGTGGTTTGGGTAAGGCTTTACAGACTATGTGGGATTTTACCCCAAAAGCCATGAGGAGCCTTCAAAGTTTTTTCAATGGAGGGGTGGCAATCTGCTCAGACTGTATTCTGAAAAGGTCATTCTGATCACAAAGCAGAGTGCATGCAGGAGGCAGGGAGACCAGAGGGGAGGCTGCTGCAATGTCAACTGGGAGACGCTGTGGTGTGGACAGTGGTGGTGGTGGGCAGAAATTAAGTTGGGAGAGATTTAGGTCCAATGGGAAGGGCTGAGGGATCAATCAGACCATCCTGAGGCAGGGATGTCCCACTTTCACCAACGCCTTAGGTTGGTTTCCTTCAGAAGCAGCCCCAAGATAAAGAGCCCACAAAGAGCTACCCCTACACAGGTCTATCCAGGTGTGAGCTGAGAGGCTTTTAGGCCAGATGATTGCCATTTGGAAGTGGGTCCTCCAGTTTGAGCCCTCCCAGCTGGTGCACATGAACTCCGAGTAGCCTCCTGGCTGAACCCTGACCAGACGGCAGATCTGTGAGCTGGATAATTGACTGAGGCCTCAGCTTTGGGTGCGTTGTTACCGAGCACTGGATAAGGAAACAGTAGGGCTTTTTGATTTCAGGGCCTGGGCCTTAAGGCATAGGCTCATGTTTTCACAGCTGTTCTGGCGACTGGTGGCATTAGAGAGTTGAGCCCTCTTAAGAGGAGGTGACAATCTCCATGAGGCAGACTGGAAAGAGTCAGGGGTGGCAGGAGAGTCAGACCCTGCTGTGCTCCCAGATACCCTAGCCATGGTCGGCAAACCGCGGCTCGCGAGCCACATGCGGCTCTTTGGCCCCTTGAGTGTGGCTCTTCCACAAAATACCACGTGCGGGTATGCATGTACAGTGTGATTCATGGCCCATGCGAAGACGTCGGTATTTTGTGGAAGAGCCGCATGTGGCTCAGGAGCCGCGGTTTGCCAAGCCGCAGTTTGCCGACCACTGCCCTAGGGCAGTGGTTCTCAACCTTCTGGCCCTTTAAATACAGTTCCTCATGTTGTGACCCAACCATAAAATTATTTTCGTTGCTACTTCATAACTGTCATATTGCTACTGTTATGAATCGTCATGTAAATATCTGATATGCAGGATGGTCTTAGGCGACCCCCGTGAAAGGGTCCTTCGACCACCAAAGGGATCGCGACCCACAGGTTGAGAACCGCTGCCCTAGGGGTACCACACTGGGCCCCCCTACCCGGCCCAAGACCCAGAAAGATAGGAACTCCAGGTAGCTATGAGGAGATCCAGAGCAGAGGGGACCAAGCCCCACAGCCTACCTTGGAGGGAGAACAATACAGGAAAAATGACTGGGTGGCATGGGAGCCTGAGATAGTCAACTGGTGAAGGTTTGGGATCATGGATGGGTGCAGCAGGATGCACCATATCTGCGTGCTGAAAAGTAACCAAAAGGACCTTATTGCTGCCCCTATGTGGGATGAGGGTTGGAATGGCCAGGTTCCAATGTCCACACCCTCCCCACGCTGGTCTTCCCCTGCCCAGGGCCCACAGACGCTTCAGAAGACCTTGGCTTGGTAGTTAAAGGCCCAGGCTGCGGACCCAGAAAGGCCTGTGTTCAGATTCCACACCTGTGTGCTGATTAGCTGTGTGGCCTTTTGCAAGTGACCTGGCAGAGGGTTTAAGTACCGTGCGGGGCCCAGGTGTCCAGACTTCCCCATTACACAGATCCTGCTGTCCCGGCCTTGCCAAGTCACTGCACAACAACCCCCACCTCCCGGCAGGCACTGGTCGGATCCTGTTTACAGATGCAGAAACCGAAGTGCAGACTCAGGGTCAGCAATACCCCCTGCTTAACACACATGCTTCACTTCATCCTCACAACTACCATGAGGCGGGCGCTAATGCCATTCCCATTTCACAGGCCAGAAGACTGAGGTTCAGAAAGGAAAGTCACGCCCTGACCGGTTTGGCTCAGTGGATAGAGCGCCGGCCTGCGGCCTGAGAGGTCCCACGTTCGATTCCGGTCAAGGGCATGTACCTTGGTTGCCGGCATATCCCCAGTGGGGATTGTGCAGGAGGCAGCTGATTGATGTTTCTCTCTCATCGATGTTTCTAACTCTCTATCCCTCTCCCTTCCTCTCTGTAAAAAATCAATAAAATATATTTAAAAAAAGAAAAAGAAAAGTCACTTGTCCAGGGTCATACAAGCTGTCAGGTCAAAATTCAAATCCGGCCCGAGCCGGTTCAGCTCAATGGATAGAGTTGGCCTGCGGACCAATGGGTCTCGGGTTTCTATTCCATTCAGGGGCACATACCGCGGTTGTAGGCTCCTCCCTGGCCCCGGCCGCGCAGGAGGCAACCAATCGATGTTTCTCTCGCATTGATGTTTTTCTGTCTTTCCCTCTCTCTAAAAAAAATCAATGGAAAAATAACCTTGGTGAGGACTAAAAAATAACAAAAACACAAATCCAGAATCCAGTGCTCTTGCCCTGACAAGCTGTGGGCAGGCACGACACACTGGCTGGAAACAAAATGACCAGAGTTGAGGGTGCAGGCAGACGCAGAGGCCAGACGGGAAACCTACGCTGCGTTTCATTCCCATGAGAATCCGGTTAGGCTGCAGGAAGACGTGAACCGCGCCTGGAAAGGCTTGGGTCCCGGCCCGGAGGCGTGGCTGGTGTGTCTGCAGACCCGGCAGGTCAGGGCGGCTGGGGCTGTGTTCACGGGAAGGGTCTTCCCCGGAGGCCTGAGCGCCAAGCAGAGCCAACGAACTTCATCCTGGGAGGCCGAGCAGAAGCCACTGCCCGTGGGCCGCGCACGCCCAGTCGCCACCCTCTGCTCACGCGGGGCACCCGGCCGGACCGCAGAGTTTCAGGCTTCTTAATCGTCTCCGGTAATATAGTCCTGCCTTATCCGCGAGCCCACTCGTCCTCTTGAGTTTCCTTCTGCCGCTCCCGGAATAGCGGCCCTCAGACCCAGCTCCAGCTCCAAGCAAGAAGCTAAGCCAATCCCGGAGCGTCCCGCGGCTGCGCACGCACCGAAGCCTCACGTACGTGACTTGGGGAACGTCCGCTACTGGCGGCAGCGGTGGCTGCGAGGGAGAAAGGGGCAGTCAGTGCGTCCAGATTCTGCGAACATCGTGGTTCGGTTCAGAGCTGGAAACTGGTGCTCTTGGCCAGGCAGTTCAAAAATTTCCTTTAGCGTCTGAGGGCTTTTCTTCCGGTCGGATCCCCATTCAGGCACCTACTCAGACACCCATTCATCTTTCAGGGGTCCTCATAGCCCTCCCTGCCGCTAATTGACGGATACAGTAGCCAAGGCGACCGCCTGATTGACAGGCGGGATTACCAACCAACTTCCGGAAGCTCCCCTCTGGGTCCGCCCGGCGCGTGGCCGGGGGCCCGTGAAAGAAGTGAAAGAACCAAAAGGGACGGTAACCCGACCTAGTCCTAGGTTGTTGGCGATTTCCCGGAGGTTGCGCGCTGGGGGCTGAGGCGTTTTTCGGACAGTCGAACGATGCCGTGACGCAGCATTGCGATAGCGTTGGCAGTGTGAGCGCACCCCTGTGGAGGGAGCCCTTCGGTGTTCTTTGAAAGTGCTCCTCGGAGTCCTAGCGTGGGGGAGGGGTGGCGGCCGACCAGCGGTTCCCCATCTGCGCTTGCGC